AATAAGTGAATTGTGAATGGCACGATATAGAAGTATCAACCGTTGTGAGTGTCCAATTAAATTTATGGTTTTCCAGCATTGTGAGGTCCTTCACTCCCCCGGGACAGTGTACAGACCTATAACTGCAGAGACACGAATGTAGCACACACTGCCAATCACAGCATATGGGTCTGCCCCAATACCTATAAACCCACTCACAACACACTCACGCTCTACCCTACACACTGCCCGCAACATTTTCCTACATTTTCAGTCGATTGCTATCATTCAATGCGACCCAAACTCACTCGTAAGCTCTTTCCCATTGCACATCCATTGCCCTCTATCTTCCTAACAGCCACTCACCAAATATCTCGCTCGAACACACATGGGCCTTTCCAGAGTAGACTGAAACTCTCTCACTCTCAACGCACAAGACACGGGCTGAACACAATAGTACCCAAAGTACGACTGTAGATCTTTCTCTAAACATGCAGACCCCCTGCCCACGTACCTGCATTCAGTACCGGTTGATCCTTCAACGCGTTTGTGGATGCTGCTAGGAAGGCACTCATGAACCCGAGCTTAATGTTGTGCTTCTTCAGGAAGTCGTCCTTGAACTGATTGCGTAGTGCCATGATGTTGCTGTAAACCGTTGGTGTTGGGTATAGATGACTCGTGAGGTTTTCAATCTAGACTAAGTCCAATAACTTTGATGGGCACCAGTGAGGGGTAGTCATGTATAGCGCAAAGGCAGTGCTTTTAGTCAGATAGAACAGATAACCTAAATCCTAAAACCCTAGAATGCAGCACACGCATCCACATGAAGTAGTACTCGTTCACGAGTGTCCGTTGCCGAGTGCAAAAATACTTGCCGCACGCTTTACCCGATATTAAACCCCAAAGAGTAACCCGGTCGCGCGGGTAGGATCTGTACCGAAGCGTATTGTTTACTACTGGTGATAAAAGAGTATGCCACTCACACAATCAGCAGAAGTGAGTCTGTCATATCCAACCACCAGCTTGGTCCTCAAGGAATGTAGCCAGCTGAAAATAATTGCACACTAACAATACATACAAAATTGCATTTTGACATACAAAATTGCATACTGCCATATACAACGGATAAATCTTGTACACAGATATGAGGAATCCAATCTATTCAGCGGCACAATCATATGCCACTACGTTGCACTCGAGACCATTGTTGGTGCAATTGTACTTGAGGTCGAGACAAACACGACGGCCCACAAGCCACACTTACGTCATGTCGATTTCGTTGAAGGTGGTGAGCATCGCAGTGGTGTTCTGTGCCTCCTTAAGTCGCTCGGCCACACGCAGACGCATACGCGACATCTTCACACGCGTCTCTCCATACTCAACGCCCGATGCCGGTGCAGCGGTTTCCTTCTTGCTCTCTTTCTTGGCTTCTTTCTTAGGTGCAGGGGCCTTTTTCTCCGCCTTGTCGGCGGCGGGTGCAGGGGCGGGTGTGGCGGCGGGTGCGTCTTGCTTGGGCGTGTCTGTTGAGGGCGTCTCTTTGGGAGGGGCGGGTGATCCGCCTTCTGATGGGGCGCCTAAAGTGGTGAATGGGATCGGACAAGCTGTGGTTAGTTATTAGACACAGTACTGTTCGTAAAGAGTGAGTGTATTGGGTGTGAGTGAAGATAAAAGATGACTGAGTGGTAGGCAAGGGACGTACATTAGGATAACTGAGACCAGGCAAGCAATTTCAAAACAAAAGATCGGCTACGGCACGGAGACTGGACTATTGGCGTTTAATGCACACGTCATTCAATACACACCGAACGTCATCGCCCTAATGACTGTTGCCGATGACAGCGAACATACAGGGACCCCCACAGCACCAAACAGCGATGATCTCAACAACAAGCATGGAGAGCTGAATGTACAAACACACATATCACACCCATCCAATACACAAGCACTGTGTGAAGGTCTCAACAACAAGCATTGAGAGCTAAATGTACAAACACACATCTCACACCCATCCAATACACAAGCACTGTATGCAGGTCGTTAACGCATTGCGGACAGAACATACAAAACGCCTCTCCTCCTCCGCCAATAAGATAACCTTAAGTCACCAACTATATCCTTCATAAATGCAGGGCAAGGTTCGCTTACCGTCTGTGTCGATCTCGAATAGATCCTGGCCCACCTCCACGGAGTCTCCTTCGCCCTTGAGGTGCTTCTTCAGAGTACCAGCGTGTGGTGACGAGATTTCAATGTCCACCTTATCGGTTTCGAGCACACAGATCACCTCGTCCGTCTCCACGTAGTCGCCTTCGTCTTTAGTCCATTGCGAGATTTCTCCCTCAGTCACCGAATCGGCTAACGCGGGACACGGCACAGTCTTGATTTCCCCTGAGAAAGAAGGCGAGGCACCATAGAGTGTGAGACCATGTGAATATTGTGTTGTCGACAAGGCCTGAGAAGGAAACACTAATCTGTCGGAGAAGAAAATAACTGCAGTCCCAAACTAGACTATACCTATTCACGAAGTAAGAACAAGCACTCTTTCTATTCTACAGGGGCTGAGTGCAAGGTGAAACAGTGATCGATGCCATGACATGTCTAATTGTGAACGTCGTCCCAACGTATAAACATTGGAACAAGTCTCAGACGTAGCCTCACGTCAACAAACTCGAAGTGCCATAAATATATCAGATTGATTCTTCCGTTGGCGACTTTTGGTTCACCCATTCTAAGCAACGATCACACACAACAGAAAAACATATAAAAAATATCACATAGGAAGTTGTTTGAGGAGAATTTCAATCATATGCGTATATGTCACAAAACTGTACACCATGGTAAGGCATACACACAAAGAAGCATCTGAATTTGTTAAAATCCACAATGCACAAAAAAAAAATTTGAATAATATTTGTATACATATTTGTGCACAATAGCATACGTAAACATGTAATATACATATGCTGAGATTTATATATATTTATATCTATTCGTCACTATATATATACATATATATATATATATATATAAATATATATATATATATGTATGTATGTATGTATGTATG